GGAGGAGGTGGGGTCCGCCCCGCGCAAGCAGCTGAGGGAGAGCGCGAAGGGAGAGACCCGGCCCGAGCGAAGCGCAAGAGGGGGGGAGAGAGAGAGAGGCAGGCGGCGGCGGCGATCACCGACTCCGCTCCCCCCCTTCTCCTCCTCTCTCGTTTTCCTCTTCACTTTCCTCCCCCCCCCCTCCTTTCCCGGTCTCACCTCACGCCGCCATGGAGCTCATCACGATCTTGGAGAAGACGGTCTCACCAGGTAAAAGGGGGAGGCGAGGCGGCAGAGGGGGAAGGCCGCTCCATGCGGGAGAGGGCAGCCAGCCGGGGGGGTGGAGGGCCGCAAGGGGTGGGAGTGGGACGTTTCCCCTTCCCCGCGGAGGCGCCCGGGTGTGGGGAGCGGTCTTATTCGGAGGGAGGGAGGGAGGGGGGGCAAGCCGCCGCCCCCCCCTCCTCCTCCTCCACGTACACGCGCATGGGGGTAACAGAAGAGGTTCGGGGACAGCCATGAGGAGGATGTCCCCTTTAAACTCCCGGCTTGTGCTGATGGTTCTCCACCGTTGCGAAAGGTACGGGGAGAAAGGGTGCAATTGAGGACCACGTCTCCTTTCCTTCTCTCCCCCCCCCGTCAAATTGGAGACGGATTTTTTTTTGGGGGGGGGGCGGCCGCAATCCCCGGAGCTCTTCGCGCTACCTGGACGATGGGTTCTTAAATTTGGCCGCGATATGGAACGGGCATGTTTTGGGAGGGGCCGCAGAGAGATTAATGCACGTGCCTGACGATGGAGGGTGGGGGGTTGCAAATGGATGTGAGGAGCCTGGAGGGAAAGGGTCCTGTGGAGGTGAAGGGTGGCCCCGGGGTCGCCTCTTCAGGCAGGCGGGGTGAGGTTCGGAGGAGGTGAATGCTCTCTCTCGCTCTCTCTCCTTTAGCGCTGGCTGTGGGGCATGGGTGTTGGCGGCGGCGGGGGGGAGGGTTGTTTCCTGCCCTCGGGGTAGGGGAAAGGAGAGTGCAGCCATATGGATGTAGAAAAGAACCAGAAGTCTAGTTGCAACCCTGAAGACTAACAAAATGCCACCAATTGTGTTAGTCTCCAAGGGGCTACTGGACTCTTGCCCTTTTCTAATGCTACAGGCTTACCCATCTTAAGCAAATGGACGTGGTACTTCGGCACTACTAGTGGCCCCACGTGCGCCCGAGATTGTGTTCTCTCGAGTATAAAACGGGGTGATGGATGTCAGGAATGGGTTCTTGCCGTTAGGGACCGATGCACGTGCGGAGGTGTGTGTGCCTTTTGGGTACCGGGATTGGGTCAGGGGAGAAGGTCCTGCCCGGTTTGCATGTAGGCCCCGGTCGGTCTGATGATGAGACCTGTATAGCTGAGGTCATGGTCCAGCACTGGTCGGTATAAGTTGAGTACATCTTTCCCACCTAAATCCATGAGGCGTGTAGGTGGGGGAGAATCTTATTCTTTGCGAGGGGGGTTGTGCAGCGACCCGTGATGCTCGTGTTCGCCGGCTGCATTTGTTAGGCGAGGAAAGGGAGACCCCCCCCCCCCAATTTGCTTGGGGAAAGAAGATGCTCTTTCCTTTTCAACTCGAATGTGTGATGCCGTGCGGAAAGTGATTTCTCTCCTCCTCCCAACCTTTCTGCGCGTGGAAAGTTAGTTCAGCACGAGGCCTCTTTTGCAGGGCTTCGCAGGCCGCCCTTTCCTGTGTGTGTGTGCGCGGGGTGGCGGCGGAGTGCCCTAATTTTAAGCACTATGAGGGGAGGTTGGCGTGTTGCGGCTCAGTTTCGAGGAAGAGGGAGTCCAGATGCGGAGATGGTTGCCGAGGGTGGGAGGGGAGCGCCTCCCTTTTCAGTGGGGGCCCCCCGATATTGACACCTCTCTTCTCCCTTCCCTCCGTGAATCTTCCCCTTTGCCCCCTTTTAATGCCCTGCAGACCGCTCCGAACTCGAGGCGGCTCAGAAGTTCCTGGAGCAAGCGGCCATCGAGAACCTGGTAAGAGAAAACTCGGCCTTGGGTGGGGTTCGCGAAAGCGGGATCCCCTCCCTCCCCCTGTGTGTGTGTGTGTTTGAGAGCATAGCAGGCCGAACCGCCATAGAGGGGCGCAGCCTAACCGAAGGGTTTCTTTTTCTCTCTCTCCTTTTTTTCTTTTTGGAAGGGGGGGTGGGGGCAAGGTAGCCAATCGCGAGGCGCCCGAGCATCGCGCCACCCAATCGCGAAGGCAAGCCGGGCCCGCGGGAGGGAAAAGGAAGAGGAGGGCGGTTTGGCTGTGCCGCGCTGCATGCATGGAGGGAAAAGGCTGTGGAGGAGGGAGGATGGATAGGGCTGGCGGGGGCCGGCCATGTGGGAAAAGCCGGCATGAGCCTACCTCGCTAGACGCAGCTGGAGGAGGAGGCGGCCTGCAAAGGGCCTTTCCGCCTCTGTGCTGGCAGGAGGCGACAACTTTAGGTTTCGTTTTCCAACTGTTTTTTTCTCTTTCTGGTTTACTTTTCTCCGCCCCCCATTCCTTCTGCATCAGCTTTCGGGCATTTTCTAATCAACTCCAGCTCCTGCATCGTGCTAGCCTTGAATAAGCTGAATTGTACCCATTTGGTTTCCACAAGGTTCCTTGCGTCAAGATTATTTTCTCCCATTTGGAAAGCAAATGTTAAATCAATTAAGTAAAAATATTTTCAGTATCTTCCGTTTTGAAATAATATTCCCTATTCCTGGAATTGTGTGGTAAAGCCAGAGTACAATGAAGAAGGGATAATAGCCAAGCAGGTATATAGCCCACAGAGCTAATGTGGGGCAACTTGAATTCACATACTTTTGGAGAGGGAAAGAGGAGAGTCCAATTCTGTTTTTCCCTTAAGGAAAAAACTGAAGGAGTGATGTTGATTTTCTTTTTTAGTTGGCTCAACTAAAATTGTTGCCACATGACTGCTTTTAAATGTAGTGGATCTCTTTGTGCAGGATAGAAGAATGAATTGCATGTAACCTAGCTTGTACCTGACCTTGCTTTGCTGACCATTGACTACTTAAGAAGCTGTATGTGTTCAGGAAAGATTGCATAGCATGTCTGGAAGGCACTGACAATGTGTCCAAATCAGCTGTTATTAGTTGCTTAAATAGAAATGACTGAGGATGTGCTGCTCACCCCTTGAGAGAATCTTTAAATGGTACTTTGAGGATTAAACTGCTCAGGCTTCAAGATTATGCCTTTGAAGACTGTGGGGCTCCTGGAGGCTTTGGACTGGCTCCAGCAATTCTGCAAGCTTTAGAGATACAACTTATGTGAATTGCACATAATGTTTTGAATTGGCATTGTTGATTCAGTGAGTAGCTTGTCTGTTGCCCTCAGATCCTGATACTTGAGTATTTTAGTTTTCATACAGCTATTTAGAATGTTTCTCCCCTATTTGTATTTCGTTTGCAGGGTCACATCCTGTGGTTTTGCCCTGCTGTGGTGCCAGTTGTTTTGTGTTTAGACTTTTGATAACATTCACACAGATTGCATTTTTAAAAATCCCTCAACATTATTATTAATACTTTATACACTTCAATCTGCACCACATGCAATGGTAGTTCAAACCTAATGTTGTCCCTAGTTTGAGAGATCTCATTCTTGGGCCTGAAGTTTTAAAATCTTGGTTTGTGACAATGAAAAATTCAGTTACCTCCTCAATGTTAGAAATTATATTTCACCCTTTTTTGTAAGGCATGGCATGCATAAGATTACTTTAACCTTAAAATAATCATGTGCCATAGGGAGGGCTGTGGGTGCGCATAAGGGCTTAGTGGGGAAATTTGATGCAAGGGTTCATATGCCAAATCAGTAAGTACACTTAGGGACAGTCTTGCTAAGAGCTGAAAAATATTTACACAAGTGCCAGCTTTTAGGTGCCTTTGGGTGAGAAGAAGCCAGGACTTTCAGAAATCCAGAACAGTAAATTCTAAGGTGCCATCATGATAATCTTGAGCCTCAGGGCTTCATCCCGCCCTAGTGAGTTTAGGCTTATACTTAACTCTGTGTGTTTGGATTGGGGTAGAACTATACATGAAGATGTAAATTCAAAATTTGACTTGCTCCTTGCCAGTTTTTCCATGCAAATGTCTCTAGTTCTCTTTAGCCCATTTTCCCCCGTATATGCTTTGAGGCTAAAAGTAAATGGGATGACTTCTTGCTGAGGAAAACTATAATACTGCCTGCAATTCTCCACAGTATTTTCTGTTGGAGATTTGGCAAAGGGTATTTGAAATAAAATTGTTGCTTGCAGAGGGGAAGGTTTGCAGTTGTCACTCCCTCTTCCCCTAGTGGGGCCCCCTAAAGGTCAAGAGCTCAAACTCTTAAATGTTTAGGAGACAATGTCAGAAATGTCACCCTTTTTTGTAAGACATGGCATACATAAGAGATCCCGTTTTAGTCTTAAAATAATCATTTGTCATAGGTGTAGTGGTTAAGAGTGGTAGCTGCTAATCTGAGGAATTGGGTTTGATTCCCTACTCTTCTCCATGAAGCGTGCTGGGTGTCTTTGAGCCAGTCACAGTTCTCTCAGAATTCTCTCAGCCCCACCTACCTCACAAAGTGCCTATAGTGGGGAGAGGAAGGGAAGGCAATTGTCAGCCGCTTTGAGACTTTTTAGGGTAGAGGGAAAAAACACCAACTTTTCTTTTTTCGTAGATGAGCTGCTGCTTACCATTTAATGCCTCCTGCTGTTCCATATCTTTTTAGAAGTAATACATGAACAATATTATTGAACAAAGAAGTCAACTGTTTTTTCTCCCAACTCACTGTTTTGTAGGAATGATGTGGGCAGGACCAAAGATGCCCTGGTCCAGCTCTTTAAGGTTCTGTACAGCTTAACCAACATCAGCACAGTACTTTTTCCTCTGCAGGTCAGCTTCACTATTGCAGAAATATTGTAGTTATTCTCGTTACCGTGTCTTTTGGTCTCAAGCAGAGCATTTTCCCCATGTGCTGCTGCCACTTCCACACACAATTCTCAGCTGCTCAAAGGTTCTTTCCCCTTCTTTGTTTGGGAGAGGATGGGTTCCTTAGCCCATCACGATCCAGATCATGTTCCACTGTCTTGTCTACATTGCTTTCCTTTACTCTATCATCTTAGGTGAGAAGGAGGCCCATGGGGTGATGCCTCCTCCCGAATCTTCCCTGACAATTTGAATTTTGGTGGGAAGTTGCCTCCTCCACAACTTGCCAGAACCTGGTATTATTTAAGTGATTCGCGCTGGCCTGCAGCTCAATTTCACCTCCTTTGTTCCAGTTTGCTCCTGGGCTGAGAGCTCCGGGTCAAGGTGGGCTTCGGCCACAGCATGCAGGAAAGGAGACTGGAGAGGGAAGCAGCAGGGAAAGGAGAGGAGCCAAGAGTGAAGCTTGGAGAGAGTCGGGGCTGGGCTGTGCATCTATTGCCTGTCATTCAAAAGAGAGATGGGCACCAAAGTGCAGGTTCTCCCCAAAGAAAGAAAGAGAGAAAGACGGCTGCAGCAAGGAAAACCTGGCGGGGACGACATCATTGTGGGTTAATGTTGGAAGTGACGTAGGCATGTCCCCACCACCCCCCAGTTGTTTAGCTACAGTCCTGGAAAGTAGAAGTTCCTCTGGATCTCAGCTCTGTTAGGAGTGGCGGCCAGGTGGAAGATGATAAAAGGATGTCCATACCTGAAGTCAGGGTAGACGATATTCGAAATGGGGGCTGAAAGATCTGAAGGTGCTAGAGGAAGCTAGGTTGGGACTCTGCAGTAGCACTGAGAAAATAATTTGGGTTTTTACATTAAATTGTTTAAACAGCAGCCAAGGGTGAAAAGGGCTGGGATCCAAAGCACTGCCCAGATCCATATGTTCAAAAGACATGCATGTTGGGTATGTTTCTCAAATAGCCTCATACCAGCTTATTTTTGAAATTGCCATCTATAACAGAGGTGTCAAACTCATTTGTTGTGAGGGCTGGTTTGGACATAAATGTCCCTTTGTTGGGCTGGGTCATGTGTGCCATAAAGTGTAATGCCGGATACCGGAGATATAAACTTTGTGAAGTACACAGGCTAACCCAATTAATGATATTATTTTTTACCCAAAATACAAACAAAAGCAATCCATTCCTAGCAGTGAAAACAATTGATTTACTGGGGAGCCTACAAAAGCCCCAATAAATGTATTTAAGCATCATGTGCAAGAAAGGGATACCATGAAAAGGGAGAGTACCTTATATTTCCATACATACCAGTTGCTTGCGGGCCAGGTAAGAGCCCTGGATGGGTCGCTTCTGGCCCCCGGACCTTAGGGTTGACACCCTGGTCTATAATAATGGTGTAGGGTTCTGCTATTCAGAGAAAGAGTTACTGTTTGGATCCTAGATGGATTCTGGTTTCTGAACACCAATAGCTATCTTTCTGATATTGGTGTAGCTGGATTCATGGGAATTTTCCAGCCTGGCAACTCACCGCAATCATATTCAGCTCACTGGCCACTTAAGTTAACAGTGGGGTTGAACATTGAGCATATTTTTCCTGCCCCAGCCTTTGAACATTTACACTTATGCAGCCTTTTAAAGTGCTTTTATCTCTGTAGCCTTTTGGGGTAGAAATTGACACTTATCTGTTAGCCTGTCTGTTGGTCTGTCTATCTGGAAGTCCAAAAGGGTTTTAAAACTGTCAGGTGCTTTTAAGCAAAATAGTCCTTTGTACCCATGCTGGTATCTGTGGCTTGTGTGCATGTGTATTTTAAGGCCATCTTGGTTGTAAGTGGTATGATTTGATCAAGTACTTCAGTCTGTTCATCATAGTAACACACACAGATCATTTGTTAAGTTTATTAAATTTACTTATTTTAGGAGGTCACATTGGAGCAAACAAACTTCCCACGTGTGTCGTTTAGTTGGTTTAAAAATCACTGCTGTTGAATTCCAGGCATTCTGTTTGAAGACAGATTTCTGTCTTCTATAGCAGGGGATCCTATTTGACACAGGGCAAGCTCAGTAAATGTATTTTGTAACAGGCGCACAACGGATTTGCCTCTTACTGTGTGTAGCATATCTGGGCATTGATACCCATTAGTAAGCCAAAAGTACATTTGACCATTATGATGCTTTTTTCCTACCACTTTTAAATTAGGAATTGTTGTTCTTGTGTGGAGAAAAACTTACTGTCCATTATTGCTAACTTGAGAAGAAAGAAGGTGTGACAAGTAATTGAAGTGGTAGTGTATGTTAGTTTCAATATAGAGGATAGAAACTTCTTTATACTCCCTCTTCCAAAAGTTGTGAAATTGTGCTAGGATTCCGAGAAACCTTTCTCACTGCTTGTGGGGGAGAGGGTGTACTGCATGTGTTCTTTCTCTGCTAGCCATCCTTACAATAACCAGCATGCGCTGCATTTAGTATTTCAATTTGGAGCAGTTCTTAAAACATTCCAAAGGAAGATTTGCTTCCAAAAAACTCTTTAAACGTTTAGAATGGGAACATGAGAGGGAAGGTCTTACATTGGGAAGAAAGAATAATTAGAAGCAAAGTTGGAGGACTTTACATGTAAAGACCAGGAGCTTGAAGTGGATGACAAAGTAATCAGTGTAGAGACTCAAGAGTAAGAGCTTTTACTAGATATTTTCTGGATAGACTGAAGAAGCAAAACATGTCTGTAGCAATGATCCCTCTAAGCTGTGGAGTCTTTTGAGCAAAAATTCTACTTTGTAAGCTACTGTCATTATTAAAGTTGTGAGTGTCCTGTTTGGCTACTGCATAAATTAGTTTGCTCTGGAGCCATCCTTTCTGAAGTAAGACAAAACTGTGTGAGCTGGAGGCTGAAAAACTGTGAGCTAGCTCACTCTAACTCAGCTTAGAGGGAACACTGGTCTGTAGTAGACTGAATGTTGGGCTAGGCCTTGTGATGAGGGCTTAGACCATTGTATTGGACAGGAAAGAGACTGAATGTTCTTCTAGAAGTCACGCTCTCTTGGTTCTTAATTTGTGCGAGTAGGAATAACCAGGGGAAGATTTAATTAATATTTTGTAGTGATCAAATGCAGTAACCAGTGAGGGAGAGTACATACTATATGTGAAGAGGGGAGCATGTGTACACTCAGCTTGGAAGTATTGTCAGTTAAATTCACTGAAGCTTGGCTAAAATGCTGTCTTCCCTCAAGATGCAGCTTCCATCAGTAACTGAAAAAAAGTCTTAACCTGTCTTTCTTGTTGGCTAGCCCACTTTCCTTGTGGAACTGTCCAGAGTGCTGGCAAACCCAGGAAACAGCCAGGTTGCCAGAGTCGCAGCTGGTTTGCAGATCAAGAACTCACTGACTTCTAAAGATCCTGACGTGAAGGCTCAGCACCAGCAAAGATGGCTTGCAATCGCTGCCAATGCTCGCCGAGAAGTCAAGAATTATGTATGTAAAAACCACCATCTCTACTTTTTTCTTCATAGCATTAGTTTTGTTCAAAGAGTTTGCCCTGCCTTCCTCTAGCTAATACACAACGTTGCATTCTGCATTGTGTTCCTACAGTTTGCTCTTCAATTTGCTTTGCTTTTCCTGCCCATTTCTGAGCTATGGATAAATGTTTACTGTTGTGAAGACAGTTGGAGGTTGAGATGGCTGTCTTGACTTTTAAGTTATATCCTATGACATTAAAATGTTTAAGGCAGTTTAATGTGTAGCTCTTAACATTCCTCCATCTTAGACCCAACTGTGCTCAGGTGACTCTTGCTGGTTTAGTGATCCTTCCCTTTGCTTTATTACAGGTTTTGCAAACTTTGGGTACCGAAACCTACCGGCCCAGCTCAGCCTCACAGTGCGTTGCTGGCATCGCCTGTGCAGAAATCCCTATGAATCAATGGCCTGAACTCATTCCTCAACTGGTAGCCAATGTTACGAATCAGCACAGCACAGAGCATATGAAAGAGTCAACATTGGAAGCAATTGGTTACATCTGTCAGGATATTGTAAGTGCTACCATGTGAATATGCAGTGCTGATTCTCCTGCTTTTTCCCTGCACCTGTTTTCCTCTGCTCTTGATTGCTTAACCAGAACCAGAAATTTCCACCCAGTAGTCTCATTCACTGTATGTGCTTCCGTGGGCAGCATTGAACCCCGTAATACATGGCAGAAAAATAGTGCTTCTGTGCACAGAATTTCTTTGCTGCACCATTTACTAAACCCCCTTCCCACTCCCAATCAAGGATCGAATGCAAGGGGTTTCCAAACCTTGAACAATAAACGATCAGGAGCCCCACTAGGGAGGGATTGTTTCAGAGGTATTTAGAATCTCACTCAGCAGGTCTAGGTATGTCAAGTACAAGGGACAAGAAATGCAAACACGTGGCTCTTCTGTTTGCATGTTTTGATCTTTGGCAACTGTCCTTGCTTAAACATATGCAGGGCTATTCTCCTATAATGAAGCGCAAGAGTCCAGTAGCACCTTAAAAGACTAACAAAATATGTGGCAGGGTATGAGCTTTTGTGAGTCACTGCTCACTTCTTCAGAAACTATAATGAGTGATGCATCATCTCAATGACTGTGAGGAGAGAGAAGTGGTAGCGTTATTTTGGATGAGTCAGACGCGCAGACAGAGGGCAAATCATTGTGCTTCATATCTGGTACCTGTCATTCCTGAAGTTGATCTGAGTCCTAACAAAGTCTACAAACCTGGGAGTATTGTATATCTGCTCATGGAGCCAGGCATTCTAGGCACAGAGCTCTGAGTGATATACAACAGCAAATAAAATACAACATAAACATCATAAATCATTCAATATAATAATAAAAACAGTTCCCAGGTGGCGTCCATGAATCAAATTTTAAGCCAGTTCTGGTTGCCGCCTCGCAGGCAGGGTAGGGAGGAGGCTGAAGGAAAAGAAAAGATGGAATAAAGGAGAAATGTGCAAGCCATGATAGAGCCTGTCGCTGTCCTCAACCAAAAGCCTGCCGGAACATAAAACCCTGAAGGATTGCATTCAGTCCCACAGGGCCCTGATGTTATTTGGCAGGGAGTTCCACCAGGTTGGAGCCAGGGCCGAAAAAGCCCTATGGGGCCAGGGATCACCAGATTATTCTAAGCAGAGCATAATGCTCTTTGGTGGACATATTAGCCCTCACTGTTCTGAAGAAGAGCTTATAAAGAACACTTAGTGAGCTTGGTCAAGAACCTAGATGGGGATCCAAGTAGACATGGTCTACTTAGCCCTCTCTTTGCAGCTATTCTTACACTATTCCTCTTGCTACAATCTTTCTTAATTCTTCCCTTTGCTGCAGCACTGTTGTTCAGCTGTTGAAGTTGAAATATTCGAGGACTTTCATTGGTGTTTCCTACAGGGTATGGCATGTTGTCAGCCCTAAGTAATACAGGGCAAACTTCTTTTTTTAAAAAGGAATCAAATTTAAATGATTCTGTGCCTGCACGGGCAGTCCCTGGTTTGTACTCTTGAGTATGTTGCTAATTATGTGACAGCTGCATGGTGACGAAACTATAATTCCATGCTGAACTCTTGCTGGAGGCAGAACTGCTGCTCCTTGTGAAGTTTATCTTGTTCTGATCCCCGCTTTCAGGACCCAGAACAGCTTCAGGACAAGTCAAATGAGATCTTGACGGCCATTATCCAGGGCATGAGAAAAGAAGAACCAAGTAATAACGTGAAGCTAGCGGCTACCAATGCACTCCTGAACTCTTTGGAATTCACCAAAGCAAACTTTGACAAAGAGGTAAGCAGGCCACTGTACGCGCATGGCTGTGTGTGTGTGTCAGGGATGAAGAGAAGTGCAAGGCTTATGAGAGTTGGTGATGGGAACGAGAACTAAATTCATGGTCAATGATGAGAAACCATGCCCTACGCTGAGTTTCCTGATGCACAATCATGAGCCGCTGAAACCTGGATTTGTGATCTTAGAAGCTAGCTATGAGAGACCTGCCGATATACAGAAATAGAGAGGTAATATTAAGTTAAAATAAAACTGAACATTTCAGTGGGTTTTAGCAAACTTAGCTGTGCTTCCTGAAGGAATCCTGGCAAGTTTTCTTCTAGAACAATGTGGTTGTCAGCTAGTTGCATACCCTTGTGTTGGGGATTGCTTCAGCACATGGGGGAGCACCACAAATGTCTCCTGGGTCTGTGGGGCTCACCGTTCACTTCTTAAGCAAACTTCTGTGGGGCTCAGTTTGCATACTCTGCCCTCCCAGTGGGCTGTGACACTGCCTGGGTGACTTTACCTCTGAATATGCGCACACAGCCTATTGAATTTGTTGCATGCTTTTCCTCCTTTGCATTGCAGGCAAGATCTTGAGTGGTATACTGTGATCATGCAATAAGTGTGCTGGCTGATAAGTACAAGCTCATAAACAGTCGTGTGTTACCTTTCTCTGATCCCTTAGAATACTTCACTGTCCAGACAAATAATGAAAGGTGCAAGTGTCAGCTGTTTAGGCCTTAATGTTGCTTCTGGAATTCTGGTGTTAGGGGCCCGATCTGTTTTTAATCTGCCAAAGCATAAAAGAAATCTGGAAGCCTAGGGGCAGGTCTTTGTCCTTGCCTCTTCAGTAAAAGATTCCATAATGGAGCTAGTTCCATTATAATGGGTGCAGTACCCCTGAAGTTCATTTAATGAAGGAGTCTGTATTCCATGAAGGCCACCTGTTTCCCAAAAGGGCCGAGTATCCCTGTCAATGCAAATGGAAGCTCTGAAATAATCTTCCTCCCAGTTATACCTACATCTCAAAATTTTCTGTGGTTCAAAGAGCTGCAAAATACTAGAAGAGAACAAGAGCTTCTGAAATCCAGTTTTTAGTAATAGACCAAAGCACAAAATTCCAGATGAGTCTGTTAACTAAATTATGAAAATTGGAAGCCCTGTTTAAGGAACTTAGTGCCAGGCATGTTATGTTTGGTTTGATAGATGTTCAGATGTCCTCATTGGTTCTAGATAAAGGATGCTTTACTGTGTCATGAGCGTAAATGTAAAACTAGATACATGACATGTTCTGACCCTACTTTCAGGGCCTCATGTAATGTTTGACCTTGTCACTAGATATCAATGTATACCATAGTGCAAATAATAATCCTGTTATTCCTGTGATGGAAATGGAAGAGCCAGTTTGGTGTAGTGGTTAAGTGTGCGGACTTTAATCTGGGAGAACTGGGTTTGATTCCCCACTCCTCCACTTGCACTTGCTGATGTGACCTTGGGTCAGTCACAAGCTCTGGCACAGCTGTCCCTGAAAGAGCAGTTTGTGTCAGAGTTCTCTCAGCCCCCCCCCCCCTCACAGGGTGTCTGTTGTGGGGAGGGGAAGGGAAAGGAGTTTGTAAGCCGCTCTGAGACTCCAAGTGAAGGGCGGGGTATAAATCCAATCTCTTCTTCTTCTCTTTTGTTTAGGAGTAGACGATTTACAACCCATGTTGATGAACATCAAACATAAGTTCATTGTGAACTTACCTAATACTTCCTTAATGAGAGTAGATGCCCAGATACATGTTCCACTTAATTAATTAATTTATTATTCAACTTATACCCCGCCCTCCCCGCTACGCAGGCTCAGGGCGGCTTACATTAGTTAAAACATTGTACATACTATATAAATAACAATTAAAATATGGTAAAATCATCAGTGTTCCATTTAAAATAAAGGTTGTTAAATAGAGTATTCATTATGTCACAGGCTTGTTAGAAGACCAGAGTGGAGTAGAGATTTTTAGTGTGTGGTGTGATACTTATCCTAAAATACTCGAGTCTTTGTCTTGTGGAAAAATAGTCAAAGGAAGACTAGTGATTATAGCCCCCTGCCTGCCTTTTTTTCTGATGTGCCACAAGAAAGCTGTTCAAGAGCAAAAATTGACAGTTGCTCAATCTGACTTAGGGTTTTCAGTCTTCTTTGTTTCAGCCTTCTGTGCTTTTTCGGACCAGTCTGCTTCTGTATTTCAAGAAGTACAGTTTTAAATAGAAGCCAACATTCTTGGGGCTCTAGCAATAGTGGGAAAATATTTTCACACTAGAAAAATACATACATATTGATCCTAATTTTGCTGCTCCTTCTCTGTTCCCAGTCTGAAAGGCACTTTATTATGCAAGTAGTCTGTGAAGCAACACAGTGTCCAGATACAAGGGTAAGTTATATCTTTCAAAGTTTTTTTTCCTGGTCTCGATGCATGATACTATATGAGACTTCATATGATATATGACAGGCATATCCAACTTCGAACAGGTAGTGATCTATTTTTTCCGACCAAAAGTGCCGGTGATCTACCACCATGAAAATAAAGTTTCAAATTAGTTTCAAATTAGATTTTAATCCACTAAAGTTGGGTTCCACCCCCCCCACCACCACCCCATTTATAATGCACCTTCTGTCAGGAGACCAAGTGGGGCTGGTGATCTACCTCTGACCTCTCTGCGATCTGCTGGTAGATCACGATCTACCTGTTGGACATACCTGATACATGAGACTTCCTTTATAAAACCAGCGTGGGAAAACTTAACTGAATTCTGATGGGCTCATCCTGCGGATCCATTCTCCCAGCAGAGGCATTTTCCTGTAGTGGAAGGAGTCGTCTCCTGATACAAAACGCTCTCCCTTCTAGCAGGACGGTTCTGTAGGATACAACCCTTCAATATTTGCCAATCATTAATGATAAATACAGCTCCTCTGGGTACATGCTCTTTTTACAGAGTTGGGTGGGGAGGAAGATTCCTGTCCCAAAGGAGGCCATAATCTAAATTGACTATGGGTAAGACAGCCAGTGGTGCTAAGGGCTAAACATGAGCAAGTGCAGTCATGTGTTCTTAAACTTGATTTACAGTTGGGGAAGAGCATTTAGTGGCTACCCTGAAGGCCTCACAGGGGAAAAAGAATTGGTGAAAGTGGGCAAAACAGTACCATGGACGTGTTGAGGGAGGGACTTCAGATAGCAGACCACAAGGGAAATGAGGCAGTCTGTGATGTGGGGGGGGGGGGAGTTGAGAGTAGCAAAGCTGGACCGTTACAGGCCAAGGTAATAAGGACAGGAGAGTGGACAGGTCAGAAGACAATGGTTTTGTGCCGGATATGGACAAAGGGGCTTCAGTGTGGTGAATTATTTTGATAGAACAAGGTTTTTTTTTGTTGGGGACGGGGTGGGGTTGAGGCAGAGAACTAAAATGCAGCCCAGGAAAGCCTGGGAAGAAGGCTGCAGTAGCTGGAAGTGGGAGATTGCTGAAGTTTGCAAAGGAAGGCAAAGTGTGAATTCTTTTTGCAGTGTTGTGCTACGAGAAGTGATGTGACTTGGCAATAACTTGGAAAGCAAAGAGAAGTAAAATATGATGCCAGAGCTTCCTTGCCTGCTCAAGAGGCTAAACTGAGACTAGAGCCTGGTTTCAGTTTTGAGTGAACACAGTGTGCTGCTGCAAAGGCAGTGCGTGCCAGTGGTTCTCAGAGGTCTGTCTGGCACAGTGTTTTTGTTTCCACCAGTGACAGCCAGGTGCTGCCTGAAAAATGGCAAGCAGTATTCAGTCCCCCACACCCTGCAAATCTGATCATGCTTTTGCATGAAGGTTCCCTTTTTAAAGAAGTGTTAGGCTAATCATTAATCATTTGACAGTCCTCAGATTTGCCAGGTTTGCTATAAAAAGTGTGGCGATCTGCTCTGGTTCTGCAGACAGATCCCTTCCAAGCATGTCTGCTTGCTTAGAGGTGCCTGAATAAGCTCTGTCAAAGCCTGAGTCCAGTGGCACACAAAAGCTTATACCTTGAATAAACCTTTCTTCGTCTTAAAGGTGCCACTGGACTCTAAATTTGTCCTGCTGCTTCAGACCAACATGGCTGACCACCTGGCACTGTCAAAGCTCTGTAACTTCTCAGTTTTACCCTTTGGTTTATGTCCTGCAGCCAGATGGGATGGTGCAAAACATAAATGTGTTAGCTTTTTACATCTCTACCAATTTTTATCTCCTTTAAATCTTTATACTCTATGCTATTTTAAATTGATGTTGCTGATTATTTTAGTGCCTCCACATTTAATTCACTTCATAACTGTATTTGCAGTTTTAATTGAGATTTTATTGCTGCTATTCTGCAGTTCTGAAGTATTGTAGTGTGAGAGATGCCTGTTTTATTCCTGCAATTCTAACACGTGGTTATCTAATGTTACTTCTTCTTTAAAATTCTGTGTAAGCAGCCTTTTGTGCCTTTGAAGAGTGGAAATGATTTTTAAAACTGGTTCCAAAAGAACAATAGGTGATTGTAAGGAAGGTCCTCGCTGTGGGCTGTCACACAGTTCCTTAGACACAGAAAAGAGGTGTCAAAGTTGCCTGCATTACTGTCATGGGCTACAAAGTGAATCCATGTGACTATGCACCATGGTCCTATGCCGAGATGTCCATCTAACAGTCACCTCATAGTGGTTTTCCTGTCAAATTGACAGGAGAACAGGTTTCTACATGCAATCAGAAATCTGAATGAGGGGATATAAAGTGCCGGTGGGAGATTTCTCCTCTTCAGGTGGCAGCTTACCTGAGAGTTTTATGCACATTGTTTTGACTAGTTACTTGGGAAGTTGTAAGTGTTCAGGTGTCACTGCTGCTACTGGCTGTAACTTAAATGTGGCAGGTATTGTGGACAGACAAGGCTAGCTAGAGTCTGCTTGGATATCCTGGTTTCATTGCTATTGTTGAGAGCTGACTGCAGCAAGAGTGATGCTCTGCAGCTGCAAACCCTGTGCCCTGGAAGACTGCTACCAATGTACCCGGGATTCCTATATTAAGATGCAGCAGCCAACTAGAGCAGCTACAAAATGAGGATTCACAGGCCTGGAGGTTTAAGAATCCCTGAGTAAATGAGGTAACCAGCATTCACATTAATCAGGAGCTTAATCAGACTGGTTATCTGAGCTGCAGTTTAGCACAGTGTTTGGAAATTATCTCATGTCTCAGTGCTAAAAAAGAAAGCTTCAAAAAAATTGGGAGCTTGAACTTAGCCACATGGACATCTCACAAGAGGTGATGCTTTAGTGTGGTACTGGACAAAGGTGGCTGCTGCTTGACCATGAACATGCTTATGGAACAAGCTTGGTTTACGATATTATTACTTTCTCTTGCATTAGTAAAGCTTTGAATTTTTCTTGTGGGTAATTAAGCTCTGCTCCTTTGCTGCAGTGACACTGGCAGAAAAATGCCATGGCAAGATTATTTTTCTGGCACTTAATACATCACAATCATTACCTTGTTTTTAGTCTCCCACTAGTAAGTTTTTATTTACAGTTGAGGAGCACACTCAGGTGCTCAGGGTTAATTGATAAAATTTGAATGCCAGTTTTCTCAGGCCATTATTAATGCACTTTAACTAGTGCTCCAGTAAAGCTGCTTTGTCTCCCAAAGTATCCATAGAGGGATAATGAGACCCATTTCTTTCTCTTGGTTTTTTTTTAGGTGCGAGTAGCTGCCTTACAGAACTTGGTTAAGATTATGTCTCTCTATTATCAGTACATGGAGACATATATGGGCCCTGCACTTTTCGCTGTGAGTATCGAAGGCTGGGAGCTGATAGCAAAAAGCCCATAAGGATTTCTTTGGGTAGAGCCCAAACGATTACCCTTTCCTTTCTTCCAAAGATCACAATTGAAGCCATGAAAAGTGAAATCGATGAAGTGGCTCTGCAAGGAATCGAGTTCTGGTCAAATGTCTGTGATGAAGAAATGGACCTGGCTATTGAAGCATCAGAGGTGAGTTAGAAGCTTGTCAGTAGCTTGTTCCTCCAGCTGAGACTGATTGGAGATGCTAATTCTGACTTCAATAGAAAGGCTCTGGTCAATGATGAGACACCATGCACCACTCTGATGACAATGATGCATTGATCCCTTATGAATTCAGAGACCAAGCCTTGCCAAAAGGAAGTACTTCCAAGACATGTGACTTCCTGAAACACTCTACATGCAGCATACTTTCTCACTGTGGCAGAGTCTGCATGAAAATGTCAGTAGGAAGTTTGCATTTTCTCATTCTTCATAACCGCAATGCTCTGGTGTGAAGATACACAGTTTATGGAACAGAGCGAGTGTGTCTTGGCTTTGTGAGGTGCTTAGCTGAACTGGGATTTGTATCCAGTTCTTTCCCACCTGTGTACAGATGGCTCAGTACTGAAGACCACCAGTTAATTGATTGACGCAGTCGGCATTCGCATAAATTCAGAACCAAAACAGCATATATGAAAATAACTTTTAATTAGTTTTTTTCCCCAGTGTCATCTTTGCAAAATGTGTGGTATTGAAGTGCCTGAAATAGGCCTCCACTTCCTGTCTACTCAAACCAACACTTCTTGATTCCATTTTCTTTTCTCCTAGGCGGCAGAGCAAGGAAGGCCTCCAGAGCACACTAGCAAATTCTACGCTAAGGGTGCCCTACAGTATCTTATCCCAATTCTCACACAGACATTGACCAAGCAGGTAAATGGTGAAGGTTTTTTAAATCCCACTCTCCAGAGCGGCAGGGTTCATGGTGTGCAGCACCTAGAACATATAGGGATTTCTGCTGAAAAGAATGTCCCCTTATCTTCCGTTTTCTGGCTTCTCTGGTGACTCTTTTGGGCAAGAGCTCTGAAATATCCGTGGCAGACTTTGGTCAATGATGAGAAACCATGCACCACGCTGATCAGTGATGCATAATTTTAGTTACCTGAGACTAAATCCCCAGATATTTATTGCTCATTCGGTTTTGAGCCGCTGTATCTCATACATCTGAGAGCTTTAAAAGAGTCGATCCAGTTGCATATATGACAGTGTGCCCTTCTGATTAGACTTCTTAATTGTATAGTTGCTGTGCTGGTACTAAAATACATGTGCACGGAGGCCTGTGTGTGTATTTCTGGTATATGTTTCTCAAAAATTGGCATCCCTTCTAAAAACTGAAATCTTTAGTGTCAAGTGCAGGTTTGTCCCACTCTGCTCCTCCTTCGTTCAGAGGAGGAGCCCTTCATCCTGCCACAAGTCCTGCTTTTACTTGTGCACGCAACAGGAAAAAGCTGGGATTCAGCTAGCACTGTAACGGGCATAGGGCGTGCACATCAAACTTCACTCTGCAATTCACTGTGGGGGATTTACCATGAGAAAACACTTTTGTGTTCTGTAGAGCAGTCACCACATAGTAGGGTTCAAAAACACAAAGAGTAATTTAAAATGGGAAGGGGGTAGCTTTGCAGTTACAGTGATACCAATTTCTAGTGGGCATGGACTTCATAGCTGCCCATAGCTCATGCAGGTGTGTGGGTTGTTAAGACCTTACGAGGTCGTTCATACTTGGCTAGATTGCCAATCCCGAGAGGACTGCTTCAGCTGCGTATTGGAATGTCTTTCCCTTTCTCGGCTGCACAAGTAAAGCTGCTGTCCGGGGCTGCAGTGAAATAACCCCCCCCCCTCTTTTTCTTTTTTAACAAAAAGTATATACAAAGGAGGATTTACTTGGGTACTGTCTCTCCCCCCCTCCCCCCCGGTGGCCTTCTCAGGATGAAAATGACGACGATGATGACTGGAATCCCTGCAAAGCAGCAGGGGTCTGCCTCATGCTCCTGGCTAACTGTTGTGAAGATGATATCGTCCCCCACGTTCTGCCTTTCATCAAAGAACACATAAAGAACCCTGACTGGCGATACCGAGATGCTGCAGTCATGGCATTTGGGTGCATTTTGGAAGGACCCGAGCCCAACCAGCTCAAACCTCTTGTTATTCAGGTGAGAGGTTCTAGGTCTGGGGTGGTTACCCACTTGACACTGAAGGAAACTGTGAGGTGATCCATGCTGCAGGAATCAGCTTGCCAGAGGACTCAGCTACTGATCAGAAATCATTTATTGTCTTCAAAGAAGCAGGAGGTCCTTGAGGAACATAGGCTGAAGTGCCACTAGTGGAGTGAAGCTGGAGAGTGGCACTTTCGTGCTCCCTGTTTCTGTGGCAGTCTTGTGATCCCCTTGCAGTTCTGGTTTTGGGGATAAGGGACCCTTGGGAACAACGTAAGTCCAAAGTGGCGGAGGGTCTCCCTTTCAGTGGCAGAGTTTGCAAAAGTTGCCTTTCCCTCCTCTGCCAGTGGAACAGTACCGTGGGATCCCACCACACATATGCATCTTTGGCACTCCCATCAACTTGTCTTAGAGTAGTTCTCCGGCTTCAGTGTAAGCCTGCATTTTGTTTAGGGCCATTAATGAAGTCACAAGTCTTGCATGACCAAGCCATGTCGATGGCCCTCATTGCCTTTCTCATAAAGCATTAGATTACTTTTGCAGTTCCTTTTGCACCCTTTCAAAGGAGGAAAAAAGATCTTAATTACTCACAAATACTTTTCTAATTAATTGTAATCTAATTATATACCGTCCGGGGAGGGCGGCATCTAAATCGAATCAATAAATAAATAATACTCTTCCCTGTTTATCTTGTGTTGTTTCGGGAAGAAGCCCTTTAATGAGACTGCATAGGGATTGGTATGAGGTAGAAGGACCACTTGAGGCATCCCTATTATAGCATCCAACCCTTCTTGCCATTCAGATTGTTCCCAAACCACCGTGATATGAAAAGTACTGTATCTGGTTACACCGATTCCCTGCTCCAACTTGTCCTCTCTATCTGCTCAGTAGCTAGAACATTCCCCATCATCTTGTACTCCAGTACAGTTCATTCTGGTAGTGGAGTGGTGCATTGAATTTGTCTTTATTGGGATTCTAGAAGCAGGGACATGTTGGGCCTGGGAAGAAGTGCAGAAGAGGGCAACTAAGGTGTTTAAGGGGCCAGAGTAACTTTCCCATGAGAAAGGGCTCAAGTATTTGGGATGGTTGGTTTTTTGGTTTAGTCCTCTTCTCTCCAAATGGGTTTGGGGTTTTTTCCAATTTATTTAGCTCACATGACCAGTGGTCTCAAGGACACCCACAGAATACAACAAACATGTAAAATACCAATGTAAGAGTTTAAAACTGTTAACATTTCACATCCAATTAAAATATAAACTGTATAAAGGTTTAAAATATAAAACTATGACATTGCAGTCATAAAATTGAAAACAATTTGAACCAAAAAGTGCACACCTCCCCTTAGCAGCAATTATTTATGCTTCAATGCTATTATAATAGCTAAATATTTTGCTACTAAAGTGGTGATTGTCGGGTCAGTATCTGTCAGCAGATAAGAGACCACCCATGGCTCCAGTGGAAGATGGTATTTAGATAAAATTGGATATACCCAATATGACCTAAGACCTAACCAATGAGAACAAAAGCAGATGTGTCAGCGTCTCAATCTCGCTAGAAACGCAGGTACAAAACCTGTCTGAATACGGAGTTCGTGAGAAACACCCCTTTAATTTTGCAGATGGTACAGCATTTAATCTTGCAAGAGTAAAAGCAAATCTATGAGAGGGGGTGGTAAGATGGCTTAGATATGATGGAAGGGTCAGCGAAGGAGGAATTCCCAGAGCTAGAGGAGAACATGCATGCCTGGCACGTGCAGCCGTACTAGCCCTATCGGAATTACTTGCTTTCGATCTGATCTGTCTCCATGCTTCTTGCTGAGATATATTCTTGAGTGTTGATATCGGGAGGCAAAGGAGGTTCAGTTTCTTTTCCATTTGATTTAACCAGGTATTTCTATAATTATCCTCCTTTAGTCTGTAAATCAAACTCCCTGACAGTGGACTAGAAAAGCAAACCTTCAGTCTTAATCTGAAAGCTCTAAGTTCTAGGGAGCATTGTGCTAGCTCCTACCTAAGAGCAGCTCCCGCCACGCACTTGGGGACTCCCAAAATTCGACGCAGGAATTGGGCTAATACTTTGTCTAAGGATTCAGAAACTGCACAAATCCAAATGGGTTTATAAAATTGTCCATGGAGTGGAGAAAGTGGAGGCAGCTACAGCTCATTCTTCCTCTTCCGTAATACTAGAACTCGGGCACCAAATGAAGATGTTGGTCAAGTGAATTAGGATGAATGAAAGGAAGTTATGATTCACTCACGTCGTAGTGTTAAGGCATGTCATGATAGCCACTAGCAGAGAGGACTTTTACAAAGGGTTAGACAGATTCATGGAGGGTAGGCTCATCAGTTGCTACTATTCTTGATGACGGAAGAGCTTCCCCGCATTTAGAGTCAGTAAACCTCTGAATTCCAATGCTGCAAAGCAACATGGGGAGGGGGGCGATCTTAGCATCTCTGCCCTGTTTGAGCCTCCAGGGCAATTGGTTCGCTGCTGTGTAAGACAGGATGCTAAGACTGGTCAGTGGGCCAGGTTCATATGAATCTGAGTTCCATGATTGCTCCCTCTAAGCTGTGGAGTCTTGTGAGCAAAAATACTTTTTTGTGAGCTACTGGCATTGTGAGTGAGCAATTTGGCTACTGCATAAGTTAGTTTGCTCTGGAGCCATCCCTCCTGAGCTAAGACAGAAATCTGTGAGCTAGAGGCTAAAAAACTGAGCTAGCTCACACAAACTCAGCTTAGAGGGAACACTGGTTGCAGTGTATGTTACGAATTCAGCTTAACTGCTCTCTTCTCTCCTAGGCTATGCCAACTCTAATAGAATTAATGAAAGACCCCAGCGTCGTGGTCAGGGACACGACTGCGTGGACTGTGGGTCGGATCTGCGAGCTGCTTCCTGAAGCAGCCATAAACGATATTTACCTCGCTCCACTGCTACAGTGTCTAATTGAAGGCTTGAGCGCAGAGCCAAGAGTGGCATCAAATGTGTGCTGGGTAAGGCGGGTTCCCGGGTGGGTGGGTGGGATTGAACCATAGAGTTCACTGGGGAAGGTGGCCAAATATTTAAAGCATCCATGTACGATCTGTGAGCAGCTACTGTTCCCAAAAGTGGTTGGTTACTTCATTAACGTGTGAAACAGTGGTAGTGATTGTGCTGGTTCTTATGCATAAGAGAGCTGCTTGTGGGAAGGAAGTGATTGGTGGGATGACAAAAAATAACTGAAGAGATGTCATTCGGCCCGTTGGACTAGAGGGGCTCCTGGTTCAATCTTGAAAACGATTATAGGTTCACATTGGACCCCCTAAACTGTGACTTATCCTTTCTTTCAGGCTTTCACCAGTTTGGCAGAAGCAGCTTATGAGGCTGCTGATGTAGCCGATGATCAGGAAGAACCAGCAACATACTGTTTATCATCATCATTTGAACTAATAGTTCAAAAGCTCTTGGAGACCACAGACAGGTAACTGTAAGCTGGCCCTCAGTTGCTACCTTGCTTTGTCATACAAGCCTTCAAAGGGATTTCACTGCGCTGGTCATTATCCTGCTGCCGTGCCATTTAGGGTCCTTAAAGGTATCTAAAGGACCACCTGTGCTTCTGTCAGCCTGGCCATAATCTTCAGTCTTCCATCCAGGCCCTGCTTTGTGTCCTCTCCCCTTCTAAAGTGAGGATGGTCACAAGGTTTTTTGTGTAGTTCATTTATAGTCCTCCTTTCTCTCTGAGACTGAAGTTACTGGGGATGGTTCCCTCTGTGGAATCCCTTTCCTGCAGCCATCCTTCTGGAATCTTGTAGAGATGTAAAATTTCTAGAAGTTTTGAAGCCACTGAATGAACACAATGGGCGGGAGAATGAAGTATTCTGCATTACTTCCCACAAGCTGCTTTTACGGATTTAACATAAAATACATAATTTATAGGTTAGCATATAAAATTGTTCCATTGGGCATATTTATTAAATTTGAAAGTATATGTGTTTTTATTTTCTACAAGAAAAATTGTCAGTATACCTAATACTTGAGAGAGTTGCAAATTGCTGCACCCCGTGCTACCACAGCACATGTATATATTTAATTTTTGCTAAGTGTGAAGTAAGAAAAAAATGAAAGTTAAAGTTATAAAATAGTTCTGGAGTAAATAAAAAAGTGTATTTTGGACAAACCCTCTTGTACTGTCACAATTGAGTGGACTGCCAGCATATTTGGATATTTCATTTATTTAGAAACAAATTATGCTTTCTCTCTAGAAACTTGCTCAAGGAGGCTTACAAGACATTAAAATATATTAATTAAAATCCAGCATAAAAACTAACCACAGACAATTTAAAGTAACGGTTTAGATTTGCATACAAAAACCAGCTCCTTAAAAGCCTGGGTGAATGGAATTCTTTTGGCCTGGTAGTGCAAGAGCCGGGCAAACCTTAAGGGAAGGGCATTCCATAAGTGAGGTGCCACTTTGAATTGTACTCAGAAACAAATGGGCAGCCAGTGTAGATCCAGTGTTGTGGTATGATCCCTGTATTCTGCCTCTGAGGGTAGCCTGGCTGCTGCATTTTGGATGAACTGACGTGTCCCAAGCATTTTCAAAGATTTGCTGGGAGTCCATTATTAGGAAGCAGCTCACATGAGGTCTCTCGGTGAGTAATAAAGAAAAGGAGGAGTGGATTTAGTGTTCTGGCATAAATCTGTCCTTGGTTTGCATCTGGATTACTGGCAACTGTTCACCTCTCGTTTCCCATTTTTAGTAATGTTGAAAATCCCGTAGGTCCCATAAAAATCTTGGCCTGTCATTCTCTTCATATCTTGGTAAACCTTAACATCCCACTTATTCCTCCAATATAAAATGTAATTCCTTTTCTTTTTTTTAAGGGGCCATCTTGAGTTCTGTGCTTTAGCCACATTTGGTTGAAAGTTCTCTAATTTTGGATTAAGAGACAGTCTTCTCATTTTCGTAAGGATCTTCTTGGGAGAATCACACGTCCCGGGTTCAAATTTATTCTAAGCCTTCCATACCCCTTGAGCAAAAGCAGTGTCTGTCTTCTCAGTGTCTTCTGATATTGATGGGCAATAAGTGTGGGATACACAAAAGGGAAGACTTTAAATTGTGGAATTCACCACTGGTGGAGGTAGTGATGGTCGCAATCATAGATGGCTTTAAAAAGGAATTGGATGTATCCAGGGGGGGATAGATCCATCAGCGGCTGCTAGCCGTGGTTAGTAAAGGGAATCCACATCTGAAGACAGTATACCTCTGAAACCTAGTGCTAGGCTGCAATATCGGGGGAAGACTTTGGTCTTTGCACACTGATTGCGCTGACTGGTAGCCTGTGGTGTGAAACAGGATTCTGCACTAGGTGGAACACTGGCCTGATCCAGCAGGGCTTTTCTCATGTGCTTATGTTGTGTTTGCCACGTAATCCTATTTTCTGTAAATTAATGACATCACTGCCTTCCACCTCTATATAGATGGTGCAGTTCAGCAAGGCCATCTGCCTTGAAATTGGATCCTATTCCATCAAGGTATTATTGCGCACTAAAGTTTATAGCATCTCTCTTCTGCAGAGTCTCTCCGCAAAATCATTTAAAACTACTGACCGTACATCACTTGTACAGTATACTGCCTTTCCTTTTTTTTTTGCCCCCCGAGGGGGATTTTTTTAATTAGCATTTTCTATAAACTACAAAGAACTACAACTAAAAATTGAAAGGGGAAGGGAAACTATGCCCTATCCCTATAACTATGGGAAATAGGAAAAGGATAGACTAATACATAGAAACTACTTGATGGGGAAAGGAGATCACTATTCTAAACTATATCATCTATTGGTTTGGGGAAAGGAGTGCTAATACATATCACGATCTTATTAGCTAAAAATAAGGCTTATTGACCTAATATAAGTTTGGTGTACAATTTAATTCATTGCAGTATTGCTTTAAGAGTATGCATTTAATAGCTTAGCACAAATTCTGCCTTTAAGAACTATTGTTCTTGTTCTAGAGTCTTTTCTTCCTGTGTTTCTTTATTTTCTTGGGTTTAGGGGCGGCTGCTCCTTTCTCCGATTCTGATTATTCTGGTGATGTGGAAGTAGTGCTTTTTGAATCCTGTGAGTAGGATTCTTCTTCATCTTCCTCCTCCTCCTGATCCGGTTTAGAGTTCTTTTCTTTCTTTTTATATTTCGAATTAAACATTTGATCCATAAATTTTTCAGCTTTTGGAACAGTCAATTTTGTATTTTTTATCCAAGTAATTAAAATTCAGTCCTTCCAGGAATAACCATCTGTATGGTACTCCCTTTTTTGCAGAGTGAGAGTAAGCATCCTGTATAGTTTCCTCCGTTTTCTGACTTGAAAGGGAATGTCTTTTAGTATTTTTATCTCTTCATTCTTAATTTTTAAATATTTTCCCATTGTAGATTTTAGCACCAGTTCTCTGGTAGATCGTTTCGTGAATTTTAGTTAGGTTTCCCCTGGAA